AGCCAGGAACCAGGGACTGAGTCTCTCTGTAGTGGGAAGGGGGAGATCGGCGGCTGAGCTCCTTTTCCCCTCTGGCAGCTTCTTCCCTGATGGTGCAGCTGGGGAAACTGAGGCCCAAAGAGGTGGTCCGTGAAGCCCCGCGTGGCAAATGAAGTCGCTGGGGACTCTGCCCAGGCTGGAACATGCCTGGCAGGTTGCTTCCCTGCTTCCTGCTCTGGCCGGATGTGGTATTTTGGGGAGTTATGCAGTCACAGGCAGCCAAGGATTCCCCAGTATCGCACACAGTTGCTGGCAGCTGAGTCTCCCCAGATTCCGCCCGCTGCTTCCAAAGTTGGGGATGTTGCTGCCGAGAGCAAAAACTCCTTCCTGGCAGATCACACACACCAAGGGATGGGGTGTGTTCCTGTGTGCGTGTGTGGTCTTGTGGCTTCTCCAGCAATCCGCAAATCTGTATTTACCCTCCCCGGTGCAACGTGCCTGGTAGAGGGATCTGAAGACTGCTGGGTAAAGATGCCCTCCTCCAGGAAGCCTCAGCTCACTCACTGGGCAGTGTGCCATGTGGCCCTGGGAGGGTACGTGTTCCCTACCTCTGTCCCGCCAGATGCTCTGGGAGCCCCTCCCTGGAAGGCCTGGGGCTGGGTCCTCTCCAGGGCTCCAGCCTCTTGCAGCACGTGGAGGTGGTCGTAGACTAAATATCCACTTATCCACCAACACCAAGCAGTTTATGTCCACTGTGTGTGTGTGTGTCCGCACGTATGGAGGGGATGACAGGAGGTTGGGGGAGATGGCTTTTGGAGGAGACAGTTTTTGGGTTAGGCCTTGAAAAAATGGACTTTCTCCAGCCATAAGAGGAGGGGGAGGGGATTCCAGGAAGAGATAACAAACAGGGAAAGGCGCAGAGGTGGGAAAGAAAGGACACCAATTAGGTAATCTGGTCAGGGTGGCTGGAGGGGGTTGGGGGTGTGGTGTGATCTGGTGGAGTAAGGTGAAGCTGGCTGGGGCAGGGATGCAGAGGCTCCAGTGCTAGGCTGAAGAGCTGGACATTTGTCCTTAGGGCAATAGGGAGCCAGGGGAGGGTTTGAGGGAAGGAGGGCCAGGCTGCAACTGAAGATCACCAAAAACAAAGGCTGCTCAGAGGGAGGCGGTGGCTGTGGTCCAGATGGGAGAGAGGACAAAGGCCTGGTCAGGGTGGGGGCTGCTGGGGCGGGGAGAAAGGAGGAGGGTTGCAGGATTGGTGATGGCAATAGAGGACTAGGCTGATGTTCTGGTTTGGAGTATCTGGGGGGCTGTGTGTGGGGACCCTGACAGGAGCAGGGGGTAAGAGTCTGAGATCTGGGGAACCTCTAGGGGAGATGCCCAGTTGGTGGCTGGACCCACAGGGCTGGATCTCAGGGTAGGACCCAGAGGTGGAGCCAGAGCTTGCAGCCATCCTCATGAGGCGGTCACTGAAGCCTCGAGGGGGAGGCAGTGTCTCAGAGCCCTGGAAGCCAGAGGTATGGGTCAAGGTGACATTCAGGTGACCGGGCTAAGGAAGGACAGAAACCTATGTTTATTATTTGTTTGTAGAGACGGGGGGCGGGGCGGGGGATGCGGGTCTGGCTACGTTGCCCAGGCTGGTCTCAAACTCCTGGCCTCTTTGGCCTCCCAAAGTGCTGGGATTATAGGTTTGAGCCACCACACCTGTGCTCAGAGAGGGACGAGGGCCGCCAGGACAGGAGAGCGCTGCAGAGGGAGGTGAGGCTGCTGTGAGCAAGCACTGCGATGGAGGTCGAGAAGGAGTCACTGGGTTTCCAGAGCCGGGGGCTTTGGCAGAAGATGGAAGATCTGGAGGGGTGCGGTGGCTCACACCTGTATCCCAGCACTTGGGAGGCCGATGCGGGTGGATCACCTGCCGGAAGATCGAGACCAGCCTGGCCTGGCCAACATGGTGAAACCCTGTCTCTACTAAAAATACAAAAAATAGCTGGGCGCGGTGGCTCACGCCTGTAATCCCAGCACTTTGGGAGGCTGAGGTGGGTGGATCACAAGGTCAGGAGATTGAGACCATCCTGGCTAACATGGTGAAACCCTGTCTCTACTAAAAATACAAAAAATCAGCCGGGTGCGGTAGCGGACGCCTGTAATCCCAGCTACTCAGGAGGCTGAGGCAGGAGAATGGCGTGAACTTGGGAGGCTGAGCTTGCAGTGCGCTGAGATGGTGCCACTGCACTGCAGCCTGGGCGAGAGAGCGAGACTCCGTCTCAGAAAAAAAAAAAAAAAAAAAAAAATTAGGCGTGGTGCATGTCTGTAATCCCAGCTACCCGAGAGGCTGAGGCCGGAGAATCACTTGAACCTGGGAGGTGGAGGTTGCAGTGAGCCGAGATCTGTAATCCCAGCTACTTGGGAGGCTGAGGCAAGAGAATCGCTTGAATCTGGGAGGCGGAGGTTGCAGTCAGCCAAGATCATGCCACTGCAGTCCAGCCTGGACGACAGCATGACTCTGTCTCAAAAAAACAAACAAACAAAAAACCACCACCAAGAAGGAAGATGTGGGGTGTGGACAGTCGCAGACAATGAGGACGGATGCCACTATGTGTGCTCAAGGTCCTGGCAGGGGAGATGTTGGCCTCCCAGGGGAGTGAAACACCTGCTGGAAAGGGTTTGGAATCAGCACTTCACAGACCCCCAAGAACCTGGAATCACAGACTCTTGGCAACGTGGAATGATGGCTCTGCCTGTTTGTGAGAATTTCTGAACAGGGAATGTGGCCAGTGGTTTCTGGCTTTAGGCTGGTTATTGAGCACTTGCTGTGTGCCAGGCCCTGCAGGGACCTAGACAGGCTCAGTCCCTCCACAGCCTTCTTCGTGGTCAGGGAGACAAACAAGGACTCGAACAACCTCCGAGTAAACACACTCACATCCAAAACACACCGTGGGCTGGGCACGGTGGCTCAAGCCTGTAATCGCAGCACTTTGGGAGGCCAAGGCAGGTGGATCATCTGAGGTCAGGAGTTTGAGACCAGCCTGGTCAACATGCCAAAGCCGGTCCCTACTAAAAATATAGAAATTAGCCAGGCTTGATGGTGGGCGCCTGTAATCCCAGCTACTCGGGATGCTGAGGCAGGAGAATCACCTGAACCCAGAAGGCGGAGGTTGCAGCAGTGAGCTGAGATCGCACCACTGTACTCCAGAGACAATAAACAAAACGTTAAAAAAGAGATCATCAAGGGGAAAGGGGGGAGTTTTGTGCAGAGCCTTGTGGGAAGAGAAACGAGTTTGGATTTATTTTGAGGACAATAGGGAGCCAGTGAGTACTACACACACACACACACACACACACACACACACTTGTATCTTTATCCCAGGCTCTCTCTTTTCCTCCCTTCCCAGAGCTGCCCAACCTCATCGTTCAGGTCTCATTTCCAAGGCTACCCTCCCCCAAGAGCCCTCTCCCAGACACCCCCGATAAGCAGGCTTCCTCTTGTTAATCTCTATCACTGCCCCCTAAACTCTTCCTCTGTCTATACAAATAGTCCCATAATTATCAAGCTGTGAACCTGCCTAGCCTGTCACTCACATCCCACAGACTCAGAGAGGGCAGGGATCTGTCTCCTTTATCCACCCTTATAATCCCAGTGCCTGGAAGGATGCCTGGCACGTCGTAGGTGCTCCGTAAATATCTGTGGGCTGGAAAACGATGGCTTTAAATATGATAAGGGCTTTTTTTTTTTTTTTTTTTTTTTTTTTTTTTTTGAGACAAGGTCGTGTTCTGTCACCCAGGCTGGAGTGCAGTGATGTGATCTCTACTCATTGCAGCCTTGACCTCCTGGGGCTCAGGTATCTCCTGCCTCAGTCCCCCAACTAGCTGGGACCACAGGTGTGCACCACCATGCTTGGCTAATTATTTTTGCATTATTTTTGGTAGAGATACAAAAAATGCAAACATTTATTTTGTATTGTCGCTGCGTTGTCCACACTGGTCTTGAACTCCTGGGCTCAAGCGATCCTCCCTCCTCAGCTTCCCAAAGTGCTGGGGCTACAGGCATGACCCACCACTCCTGGCCCATTGACCTGGTCCATTGATAAGGGCTCTTGTGCCCGTTACAAAATGGGTTTTTGTAACCCTAACCCTTAGGTACCGTTAGGTATTCGTTCATCTAAGGACACAGGTCCAAGCATGATCAAGGGGCATGGATTTTTCTCTGTTTTGTTCCCAGCTGTGCGCCAGTGTCTATTGCAGTGTGTGGTCCACAGTATGCACTCAGTACATGTTTGTTGATTGACTTAACGAACCTCTCCTGAGGTTTCTCCAGAGAGAATAAGAACTTCCCACTCCCCAGGTGGGCCTGAAGGATGCTGGCGGGATGTCTGTGGTTTCTGGTCGGGGCTGGAGCCTTTGCCCTGGGAGAGACTTGAGTCTGATGGCAGAGCTGTGGTTCTTCCAGTTCTAAGTGGGACATGGCCCCTGCCTTCAAGAAACCCAGTCTGAGAAGGGAGACAGCCCAGTCCACTGGTGATGGCAGTAGGAATACAATTCCTATCTGTGGAAGTTTGCTCTGTGTAGGGAAATGCTGAGGGCGTTCATGCACCATCTCATTTAAGTGTAGTACCTAGTGCCGTGGCTCCCGCCCGTAATCCCAGCACTTTGGAAGGCCGAAGAGAGAGGAATGAGTCCAGGAGTTCAAGACCAGCCTGGGCAACATAGTGAGACGCTCCTGCTCATCTCTGCAAAAAATTATAAAATTAGCTGGGCATGGTGGTGCACACCTGTAGTCCCAGCTACTCGAGAAGCTGAGGGGGAAGGATCGCTTGAGCCCAGGAGTTCGAGGCTGCGGTGAGCCATGATTGCCCCACTGTACTCCAGCCTGGGCAACATAGCGAGACCCTGTCTCTGCAAAAAATTAAACACTAAAGATCGCGCACCATCCCTGACCTTTAGCAGAGACTACTGAGGCCCCCAGAGGGTGAGGGCCCCGCCCGATCTGGGAAGCAGTGTTTGCTGTGAGATTCCCTTCCTGGCAGGGCTCCCTGCGAGCGCTTGGCAAGGCTGCCTCCTCCTGACCCTTCCATCTCAGCCCAATGTCACTTGCTCAGAAAAGCCATTTCCGACTCCAGAGGGGCCCCCGCCCTCCGCAAGCCCCCCCAACGGTGGGTAACACGGTGTGAATTTCTTCACTGGTGTTTCTCCTCCCGCCCCTCCGGGAGGGGGTGGGGACCCTGTTTTGCGGCACTGGGCGCCTCCCCACTCGGCCTCAGTTTCCCCACAGGCCCAGGGACTGAAGGAAGGGGGCGGGTGCCCGGGGGCCGGGACGCGCGGGCGCGGGGAGGGGCGGCGCGCGCGGGGGGTGGCGCGGGGCGGGCCGCGGGTGCGTGGGGGCGGCGGCGCCACCTTAAGGCGGCTCAGCCCGCGGCTCCCGGCCGAGCGGGCGGCGCGCGCGGGGGTGGCGCGGGCGGGCCGCGGTGCGTGGGGCGGCGGCGCCACCCCAAGGCGGCTCGTAGCCCGCGGCTCCCGGCCGAGCCCCGGGAGGGAAGGTGCTCCGCGCGGGGCCCGCTGCCTGCGCCGCCGCCGCCGAAACCTGCCGCGGCGCGCCCGACCTTCTGCGCCGGCCGCCGCGGCCGCCGCCCTCGCCGCGCCCCCGCCCCGGCCGCTGCTCCCGCCTGCCCCGCGCGCCCCGGCCCGGGGAGGGGCTCCCACGACCCCGGGCGCGCGCGCTTGGGGGCGCGCCAGGGACTCCAGGGTCCCTTGTCCCGTGCCGCCTCTCCCTCCTCCCTCTTTCTTCGGGCAGCCTCCCCCCACCCCACTTCAGCCTCCCCCACTCTTGCCGCCTCCATATCATCAAGCTCTGGTGGCGCTTGGAGGGCTTCCCGGATCGGCAGGATGTACCCCCAGGGAAGGCACCCGGTGAGTGGGGCCTGCGGAGAGGGGGTCCCCGGTGTCCTGGAACTCAGACCCTGACGTCCCTCCCCAAACCCCGCCAGACCCCGCTCCAGTCCGGCCAGCCCTTCAAGTTCTCGATCTTGGAGATCTGCGACCGCATCAAAGAAGAATTCCAGTTTCTCCAGGCGCAGTACCACAGGTGAGGGGGGCCGCCCCAGGGGCCGCGGGAGTTCACCTGGGCGCCGGGGCGGGGCGGGGCCTCCGGGGAGCAGGGCGGGGAGGAGGGGCTCCCGGGGCGCGGGAAAGGCCTCCAGGTGAAAGCGCAGGTGCAGAGGGGTCTGGGGACAGTCAGAGCTGGGGCATTGGGAGCCCAGGAAGGGGCGGGGAGGGACTGGGACAGGAGGTGCTGGGAGGTCTGTAAGGAAGTCGGGAGGGGGAGATCCAGCCCCTCGCTTTGGAAGCCGGCCCACATGGGGCGGTTGGGAGCCCCTTGCCCTCTCTCTCCTTCCCAGCCTCAAGCTAGAATGTGAGAAGCTGGCCAGTGAGAAAACGGAAATGCAGCGACATTATGTCATGGTGAGGGCACTTATGATGCCAGGGTGCGGGGAGAGGCGGGCAGGGCTTTGAGCCACGGTGGACTCTGGGGTAGGTCCCTGCCCTTCTCCCAGCCTCGTCTTCCCTGTCTGTACATTGGGCGGATTTGGGATTTCAGGGTCTCTCTCTCGGAGGGTCCACCCAGCTCTGGGAACAGGGAGACAGGGAGGACCCCTCGCCTGGTGGGGCCAGGGCCTCTGGACGCTTCCTACCTGCCCTGCCTGTCTGGGGAGAGTAGAGGGGGCCCTTCCAGGTAGAACCCCGGCTTCCTCCTCTGGGCTTCTCTTCTGAGACCTCGTGGAGCTGGGGGTGCTCTGCGTCCTGCTGTGATCCCCCGAACCTGGGGGCTCTTGGAAGACCTGTCTGGAGGAGGGCACCCATCTCCACTGCAGAGGTTCTTATTTGGTTTTTCCTTTTCAGTATTATGAGATGTCTTATGGGCTCAACATTGAAATGCATAAGCAGGTAACTGGGTTGGTGTTAAGCGTGTTCAGGAGGGAGGGCGGGGGTCTGGAAGCCCTGGGAGGGACCCAGTGTGGGCAGCCGGGGCCAGAGCAGACCTAGGGAACACGGATCTCATCCTGAAGTCTCCGCAGAGGTCACAGAGGGCCCATCTGGGACCAGGAAGGCAAATTTCAGCCTCATGGAAGGAAAATGAGTCCCAACTTCTGAAGACAGTAGCCAACACTTGGAGCGTCCAGCAGAGAGGCAGGCAGCGGGCAGGGGCCACCAGGCATCTCCATCAAGGAGGGCACATAGCAGAGGCAGGGCAGCCAGGCCAGGGAGGCTGTGGAGGTGACTTCTGTCCCGGGAGGGGGCTGGATGACCACTCTTCGAGGTCCCTTTCAGCCCAAAGAGTCTGAAGTTTTGAGATGGACTCCAGGTTCTGTTCCTGCTTTGAAGCTTCTGAGATTGGTCTCAGTGTGATTGGCTGGAAGGTTCCAAGATTGTTCTCCAGGCCCTGAATTTGATGCCATGGTTCAGACTGTGACCCCACTTTTCCAAGATAGACCTCAAAACTCTGTGTGGTTATCTTCAGGGCTTTGAGACTGACCCCAGTGCCATAAGACTCTGAGCCTCTTCCAAAGCTTCTCAGTGTGATCCAAGGTTCTGAGGTAGACCTCAAGGTTCTGAGATAGACCTCAAGGTTCTGAGATTGACCTCAGGGTTCTGAGATAGACTCAAATTTCTGAAATTGACCTCAGGGTTCTGAGATAGACCTCAAGGTTCAAAGATAGAACTCAAGGTTCAGAGATAGACCTCAAGGTTCTGAGATAGACCTAGGGTTCTGAGATTTACTTCAGGGTTCTGAGATAGACTCAAATTTCTGAAATTGACCTGAGGGTTCTGAGATAGACCTCAAGATTCAGAGATTGACCTCAAGGTTCAGAGATAGACCTCAAGGTTCTGAGATAGACCTAGGGTTCTGAGATTGACCTCAGGGTTCTAAGATAGACTCAAATTTCTGAAATTGACCTCAGGTTCTGAGATGGACCTCAAGGTTCAGAGATAGACCTCAAGGTTCAGAGAGTGACCTCAATGTTCAGAGATAGACCTCAGGGTTCTGAGATAGAACTCAAGGTTCTGAGATAGACCTAGGGTTCTGAGATAGACCTCAAGGTTCAGAGATAGACCTCAACGCAACGTCCTGAGATAGACCTCAAGGTTCTGAGATAGACCTCAAAGTTCTGAGATAGACCTCAAGGTTCAGAGATAGCCCTCAGGGCTCTGAAATAGATTTCAGGGTTCTGAGATTGACTTCAGGGTTCTGAGATTGACCTGAAGGTTCAGAGATAGACCTCAGGGTTCTGAGATTGTCTTATCTATGTGCTGAGATGTGTTAAAAGGTTCTGAGGCTGTTCCTGAACTTGTGATCTCAAGGTTCTGAGATAGACCCAAAGATTTTTCTTTTTAATTTTGAGATAAAAAATTAATTTTTAAAATTTTAATTTTAATTTAAAATTTTTAATTTAAATTTGAGACGGAGTTTCACTCTTGTTGCCCAGGCTGGAGTGCAATGGCCCAATCTTGGCTCACTGCAATCTCCAACTCCTGGGTTCAAGCGATTCTCCTGCCTCAGCCTCCTTAGTAGCTGGGATTACAGGCGCCTGCCACCATGCCTGGCTAATTTTTTGTATTTTTAGTAAAGACGGGGTTTCTCCATGTTGGCCAGGCTGGTCTCGAACTCCTGACCTCAGGTAATCAGCCTGTCTCGGCCTCTCAAAGTGCTGAGATTACAGGCGTGAGCCACCACACCCGGCCAATAGACCCAAAGATTCTAAAATTCACTTCAGTGGTCCATGCTTCACCCTGAGATCCTGAGACCGGCCAGTAGTTTGTAAAGGGATGAGAGGGGTCCCAAGCTTCTGAGCTTCACGGGCTCTTAGATTCTATCAGAATATTAGAATCAATGAGTCTGGGAAGGAGAACGGGGTGGGCTGGGAGTGTGGGGTGCCTGGGGGTGCCCACCCTGGCATGCTTTCCTGCATGTGTGGGGGCTCTGTTGGTTCTGATATGGGTAGGAGGGGGCTTGTCTGCTGAATCATGGCGTGGTCGCATGGGTCCATGCAATAGACCCCCTAATGGGGGTGCGGGACACCCTGGGATCCTGGTTTCACCCTCCTGGTGGTAATAGGAGACACAGACTCCACCAGACACACAGCATACCTGTAACTCAGGCAGAGGCGAAGCCCGCGGCCATTGTATGCCCGCCCCCTTCCCCACCCACATGCCTCCTCCTCTGCTCAGCCTCTTTGAGGCACCTGGGCCCAGACCCTCTCCAGATGAAACCCTTCCCTTGAGTGTGGAGTGCTGAGATCTCCACCTGGAGGCAGCCCCAGCTGGTAGATCAGCCCTGGGAAGTGGAGGAGACCAAGAGAGGAGCCTTGCCTGGGAGAGACGTGGGCCCAACCAGGGCTGGAATCTGGGACTCCGGGCGGAGGCCCCTTTCCTTTGTTTCAGCTGAGCCCAGCACCTCCGTGTGCGTCTGAGTTGGGTGTCTGAGCGTGTCTGCCTCTTGCAAATCCCTGGCGGGTGTGCATCTGGCAGGTGGTGTATCTGTGACTCGTAGGACCTCAGCCCTGGTCTTCCCAGCTCCAGGCCACGCTGGGCCTCGCTCAGCTGAGCACACAGCCTGGTGGGGCTCTGAATCCCGCCTCGGCCCATGCCATGCTGGCCTGAGTTCCCCTTGTGCACCTGCGGGCGCCACCTCCCCAACCCTTCCGCTTTGCAAGCACCTGGTCTGCCTGGGAGTCCAGAACTGGGTTGCAAATCTCTACCCCTCTCCAAGCTTCCTCTTGTTGCTTCCTGCCAGGCGGAGATTGTGAAGCGTCTGAGCGGTATCTGCGCTCAGATTATCCCCTTCCTGACCCAGGAGGTGAGTGAGCCTGGGGGTGGCGGGGAGGAGGGGAAGGGAGGGGGTAGGTCTGGGCGAGGACGCCCCAGGCACTGATTCTGCTGCGTAGCCTGCAGCACAGATAGAGACCGTTTTTTCTCACTGCAGTAGTCCGGCAGCCCTGAGGCCAGGCATGCAGCTGGGGCAGGGGCTGCAGGGATAGAGGGAGGTGTTGGCTGAGGGTGAGGACTGGGGTCTTTTTTCCACCTTGATCGGAAGCAAGGTGTGGAGCTGACTCCCTCAAGCCCTGCAAGTTGGCTGCCCGGGTCTGAATCCTGGCTGTGTGGCCTCAGGCAGGATACTTGTCTCTCTGTTTTTGCAGTAGTGTAGGTGTGAAGGTGAGATGAGCTCATACACCCAGGGCCCTGAAGACGATGGGTGCGCTTACTCGGCACCCGATGAACGTTACCCCTGCCGTCGTGCTAGGAGAAATCAGAGGGACAAACCCTGGGTGATCCACTCGTAGGAGGTCCCAGGGTTGTCGGGTTCACTGAGACAGAAAGCAGAATGGGGGGTGCCAGGGGGTGGGGAGGGGACCGGGAGTGAGTGTTTCATGGGGACAGAAATTCAGTTTGGGAAGATGGGAAAATTCTGGAGATGGGGCTGGTGATGGCTGCATGACCATGTGTGTGCTTTACACTGCTGAGCTGTGCACTTACAAATGGTTAAAATGACCTGTAATCTGGCCGGGCGCAGTGGCTCACACCTGTAATCCTAAGATTTTGGGAGGCTGAGGCAGGTGGATCACCAGAGGTTGGGAGTTTGAGACCAGCCTGTCCAACATGGTGAAACCCTGTCTCTGCTAAAACTTAAAAAAAATTAGCTGGGCATGGTGGTGTGCGCCTATAGTCCCAGCTACTCGAGAGGCCGAGGCAGGAGAATAGAATTGCTTGAACTTGGGAGGCGGAGGTTGCAGTGAGCAGAGTTTGCGCCACTGCACTCCAGTCTGGGTGACAGAGTTAGACCCCGTCTCAAAAAAAAAAAAAAAAAAAAAAAAAGCTCTTGTGAGAGTGCCCCAGGTTCCTTTCAGCCTTTGCACAGTCCCTGTTTCTCTCTCTCTCTTTCCTTCCTTCCTTCCTTTCTTTCTTTCTTTCTTTTTCTTTCTTTCTTTTCTTTCTCTTTCTTTCTGTCTCTTTCTCTCTCTCTCTCTCTCTTTCTGTCTCTCTCTTTCTCTCTTTCCTTTCTTTCGAGATGGTTTCTTGCTCTGTTGCCCAGGCTGGAGTACAGTGGCATGATCTTGGCTCACTGCAACCTCTGCCTCCCGGTTTCAAGTGATTCTTCCGCCTCAGCCTCCTGAGTAGTTGGGATTACAGTCACCCGCCATCATGCTGGCTAGTTTTTGCATTTTTGTGGAGAGAGGGTTTCACCATGTTGGCCAAGCTGGTCTTGAACTCCTGACCTCAGGTGATCCATCCGCCTCGGCCTCCCAAAGTGCTGGGATTACAGGTGTGACCCACCATGCCTGGCCTAAAAAAAATATTTTTTTTACAAAAATTAGCCGGGTGTGGTGGCAGGTGCCTGTAATCTCAGCTACTCAGGAGGCTGAGGCAGGAGAATTGCTTGAACCTGGGAGGCGGAGGTTAGCATGAGCTGAGATCACACCACTGCACTCCAGTGGGGGCGACAGAGCGAGACTCCGGCTCAAATAAGTGTGTGTGTGTGTATGTGTGTGTATATATATAGTTGTGTGTGTATATATAGTAATGTGTGTGTATGTGTATATATATAGTAATTGTGTGTGTATATATATAGTAGTGTGTGTGTATATATATATAGTAATGTGTGTGTGTGTGTGTGTATATATATATAGTAATAGAGAGGGGGTCTCACCATGTTGCCCAGGCTGGTCTCCAACTCTTGGACTCACATAATCCTCCCACTCTGAAGTCCTAAAGTACTGGGATTACAAGCATGAGCCACTGCACCTGGCCTGGAATCTATTAAATTAATTTTATATTTATATTTAGGCGGCCAGGCGCGGTGGCTCAAGCCTGTAATCCCAGCACTTTGGGAGGCCGAGACGGGTGGATCATGAGGTCAGGAGATTGAGACCATCCTGGCTAACACGGTGAAATCCCGTCTCTACTAAAAAATACAAAAAACTAGCCGGGCGAGGTGGCGGACACCTGTAGTCCCAGCTACTCAGGAGGCTGAGGGAGGAGAATGGTGTGAACCTGGGAGGCGGAGCTTGCAGTGAGCTGAGATCCGGCCACTGCACTCCAGCCTGGGCGACAGAGCGAGACTCCGTCTCAAAAAACAACAACAAAAAAATTTATATTTAGGCACAGTGGCTCACACCTGTAATACCAGCACTTTGGGAGGCTGAGGGGGGCAAATCACTTGAGATCAGGGGTTCAAGACCAGCCTGGTCAACATGGCAAAACCCCATCTCTACTAAAAGTATGAAAATTAGTCGGGGGTGGTGGTGGGTGCTTGTAATCTCAGCTACTTGGGAGGCTGAGGCAGGAGAATTGCCTGAACCTGGGAGGCAGAGGCTGCAGTGAGCCAAGATCATGCCACTGCACTCCAGCCTGGGCAACAGAGTGAGACTATGTCTCAAAAAAGTAAAAATAAAAATAAGCCTATTAAACTTATTTTATATTTAAATTTATATTCACTTCAATTTAATAAAATTAGGCATTCTATTCATCAGTTGCACCAGCCACATGTCAAATGCCCGGTGACCACGCACATGTCCAGTGGCTTCTGTGTGGAACAGCAAACATACAACATTTTATTTATTTATTTATTATTATATTTTGAGACTGCATCTCACTCTGTCGCCCAGGTTGGAGTGCAGTGGCACAATCTTGGTTCACTGCAACCTCTGGCTCCCGGGTTCAAGCGATTCTCCTGCCTCAGCCTCCCAAGTAGCTGGGATTACAGGCACGCGCCACCACACCTGACTAATTTTTGTATTTTTAGTAGAGATGGGGTTTCACTCTATTGGTCAGGTTGGTCTTGAACTCCTGATCTCATGATCCGCCCGCCTCAGCCTCCCAAAGTGCTGGGATTACAGGTGTGAGTCACCACCGCCTGGCCGCCTTTTTTTTTTTTTTTTTTTTTTTTTGGAGAATGAGTCTCACTCTGTCACTCAGGCTGGAGTGCAGTGGCGCAATCTTAGTTCACTGCAAGCTCCGCCTCCTGGGTTCAAGTGATTCTTCTGCGTCCGCCTCACGAGTAGCTGGGATTATAGGCAGCCGCCACCATGTCTGGCTAATTTTTTGTATTTTTAGTAGAGATGGTGTTTCACCATGTTGGCCAGGCTAGTCTTGAACTCCGGACCTCCAGGTGATCCACCCGCCTTGGTCTCCCAGAGTGCTGGGATTACAGGTGTGAGCTGCCGCGGCGACCGGCCCAGATAGAACATTTTCTTGTGGCAGAGTCCCGCGGCTCTGAGAGCTGAACGCGCTGCCGCCACCCACCACATCATGGAAGAAGCTTAAAATGTTATGCTGAGGGCTGGGCGCGGTGGCTCAAGCCTGTAATCCCAGCACTTTGGGAGGCCGAGACGGGCGGATCAGGAGGTCAGGAGATCGAGACCATCCTGGCTAACACAATGAAACCCCGTCTCTACTAAAAAAAAAAAAGTACAAAAAACTAGCCAGGCGAGGTGGCGGGCGCCTGTAGTCCCAGCTACTCGGGAGGCTGAGGCAGGAGAATGGCGTGAACCCGGGAGGCGGAGCTTGCAGTGAGCCGAGATGGCACCATTGCACTCCAGCCTGGGTGACAGAGCGAGACTCCCTCTCAAAAAAAAAAAAAAAAAAAAAATGTTATGCTGAGAGAGGCCAGACACCAAAGAGAACACAGAGAATGAGCCCACAACGTAGTTCAAAACGGACAAATCCAAGCAGGTTTAGGAAGGCGATCGTAGGAGGCAGAATTATACAGAAAAACAAAGAAATTATTGTCATGGAAGTGGAGAAGGGAGGGTGTTCTGATCGCAGGGAGTGTAGGGGAACCCTGGAGTCTGGTACTTTCTGTTCCTTAACCTAGGAGGAGAGTCCATGGTACTGATTTATTACATTGTTTTTTTGTTTTTTTGTTTTTTTTTTTTTAAACCACCAGAAGACATCTGTGGTTGTCACAACTGGGGGGTGCCCCTGGCATTGGAGTGGTTGGAGGTCAAGGGTGCTGCTCAGCCCCCTGCAGTGCCCAGAACGGCCCTGCCCCAGAGAATGATCCAGCCCCAAATGTCTGCAATGCCCTGAAGGAGAGACTATGATTTTTTTTTTTTTTTTTTTGAGATGGAGTCTTGCTCTGTCACCAGGCTGGAGTGCAGTGGTACAATCTTGGCTCACTGCAACTTCCACATCCTGGGTTCAAGCAATTCTCCTGCCTCAGCCTCCCGAGCAGCTGGGATTACAGGCATGCACTACCACGCCCGGCTAATTTTTGTATTTTTAGTAGAGACGGGGTTTCACCATGTTGGCCAGGCTGGTCTGGAACGCCTGGCCTCAGGTGATCCGCCCGCCTCGGGCCTCCCACAGTGCTGGGATTCCAGGCGTGAGCCGCCGCGCCCCGCCTCATTTGTAATGATTCTTTTTTTTTTTTTTTTTTTTTTTTTGAGACGGAGTCTCGCTCTGTCACCCAGGCTGGAGTGCAGTGGCCGGATCTCAGCTCACTGCAAGCTCCGCCTCCCGGGTTCCCGCCATTCTCCTGCCTCAGCCTCCCGAGTAGCTGGGACTACAGGCGCCCGCCACCTCGCCCGGCTAGATTTTTGTATTTTTTAGTAGAGACGGGGTTTCACCGTGTTAGCCAGAATGGTCTTGATCTCCTGACCTCGTGATCCGCCCGTCTCGGCCTCCCAAAGTGCTGGGATTACAGGCTTGAGCCACCGCGCCCGGCCTCATTTGTAATGATTCTAACTGCAGTTAGGTTTCATTTCTTTCTCCATGTGCTTATTTCAAAATTCCAAAAGGAAAGGGAGAGAGTGAGGGGGAAAAAGATAAAAGAGAAATGGGAAGTACTGGGGCAAAGATGAGAGGGTGGTGGGGAGAGGTCAGGCCCCTAAGGGCACTGCCAGCGTGAGCAGGGGCTCAGTGTACCCTCTACCTGGTCCCTTCCACCCGCCAGCATCAGCAGCAGGTGCTCCAGGCCGTAGAGCGCGCCAAGCAGGTCACCGTGGGGGAACTGAACAGCCTCATTGGGGTGAGTCTCTCCAGCCCCTGCCCCACCATGGGGAGACACCCACTCCCAGGTCCCTGGCACCTGCCCAGGATGTGTTAAAGCTGGGGGTGGTGTGTGGGCCTTGACTCCAGCGGTCCTGGGAATCCCAGGGGCACACTCTGTGCTTGGGTCCCGTCCCCTGTGTCTACCTCTTGGCCTGGGGACTGCTGGGCTCCCGCTGCCCCCCGCCCCGGCCCATCCTCCCTCCTTTCTAGCAGCAGCAGCTCCAGCCGCTGTCCCACCACGCACCCCCTGTGCCCCTCACCCCCCGCCCAGCTGGGCTGGTGGGTGGCAGTGCTACGGGGCTGCTCGCCCTGTCTGGAGCCCTGGCTGCCCAGGCTCAGTTGGCTGCGGCTGTCAAGGAGGACCGTGTGGGCGTGGAGGCCGAGGGGTCCAGAGGTGAGTGGGCAGCGTGAGGTGGCATTGGCTGGGGGGATGGGGCTGGGGAGGAGGACCGGAAGGCCAGGGCGGCAAACACATCAGCGTGAGGGGATGCGGTGGCTCACACCTGTAATCCCAACACTTTGGGAGGCTCAGGCGAGAGGATCACTTGAGCCCAGGAGTTCATGACCAGCCTGGGCAACAGAGTGAGACCCCGTCTCTGCAAAAATTTTAAAAATTAGCTGGGTGTGGTGGTGCACACTTGTAACCCCAGGTACTTAGGAGGCTGAGCTGGGAGGATCACTTGAGGCCAGGAGTTAGAGGCCAGCCTGAGCAACATAGTGAGATGCCATCGCTATGAAAAATTTAAAAATTAGCCAAGCATAGGCTGGGCATGGTGGCTTATGCCTGTAATCCCAGCACTTTGAGGCCAAGGTGGGCGGATCACCTGAGGCCAGGAGTTCGAGAGCAGCCTGGCCAACATGGGGAAACCCCATCTGTACTAAAAATACAAAAAAAATTAGGCGAGAGTGGTGGTGCATGCCTGTAATCCCAGCTACTCGGGAGGCTGAGGCAGGAGAATCACTTGAACTTGGGAGGCAGAGGTTGCAGTGAGTCAAGATTATGCCATTGCACTCCAGCCTGGGTGACAGAGTGAGACTCCATCTCAAAAAATTAAAAAATAAAACTAAAAATAAAATAGCCAGGCACGGTGGTTCACGCCTGTAATCCCAGCACTCTGGGAGGCCAAGGCGGGTGGATCACCTGAAGTCAGGAGTTTGAGACCAGCCTGGTCAACGTGGTGAAACCTCGTCTCTACTAAAAATACAAAAATTAGCTGGGCGTGGTTGTGAGTGCCTGTAATCTCAGCTACTCAGGAGGCTGAGGCAAGAGAATTGCTTGAACCTGGGAGGTAGAGGTTGCAGTGAACCGAGTTCAGCCTGGGCAACTGAGCGAGACTCCATCTCATTTATAAGTAAATAAATGCCAAGCATGGTGGCATGCACCTGGATGGAGTCCCAGCTGCTCGAGAGGCTGAGATGGGACAATTACTTGAGCCTGGGAGGTGGAGGCTGCAGTGAACTGTGACTGGGCCACTGCACTCCAGCCTGGGCAACAGAGCAAGACCCCATCTTTTAAAGTGAGGGGATGGGCCAGGTGCGGTGGCTCACGCCTGTAATCCCAAAATTTTGGGAGGCCAAGACGGGCGGATCATGAGGTCAGTAGATCGAGACCATCCTGGTCTAACACGGTGAAACCCCATCTCTAATAAAAAATACAATAGCTGGACGAGGTGGCGGGTGCCTGTAGTCCCAGCTACTCAGGAGGCTGGGGCAGGAGAATGGCGTGAACCCGGGAGGCGGAGCTTGCAGTGAGCTGAGATCTGGCCACTGCATTCCAGCCTGGGCGACAGAGCAAGACTCTGTCTCCAGATAAATAAATAAATAAGGCTGGGCACAGTGGTTCAAGCCTGTAATCCCAGCACTTTGGGAGGCCGAGACGGGCAGATCACGAGGTCAGGAGATCGAGACTATCCTGGCTAATACGGTGAAACCCCACCTCTACTAAAAAATACAAAAAAACTAGCCGGGCGAGGTGGCGGGCGCCTGTAGTCCCAGCTACTCGGGAAGCTGAGGCAGGAGAATGGCGTAAACCTGGGAGGCGGAGCTTGCAGTGAGCTGAGATCTGGCCACTGCACTCCAGCCTGGGCGACAGAATAAGACTCCGTCTCAAAAAACAAACAAACAAACAAACAAAAATAAATAAATAATAAAGTGTGAGGGGATGAATGAGAGCGGCTGCAAGGTCTTGGGGTTCAACATTACCCCTGGTGTGCTGTGTGCCTTGGGGCAAGTCACTGCCCCTCTCTGGGCATTGATCTGAATGCAGGGGAGGGATAGTCCACCACTTGCAAGGGTGTTGGAAGGATAGGGAGACTCTGGGTGGGGTGGTGGGGGCGGGGGGCTTGGTAAACTATGGAGGGCTGTACCCTCTGGATACAAACACCTCATTCTTTCTCCTTTCTCTTTATCTCATTTCCAATCTGCCAGTGGAGAGAGCCCCGAGCAGGGTAAGTGAGTGTCACCCTGGGACTTGCTTTATATTCTTGGGAGGCCAACGCTGGTTCTGAGCCGATGGGGGCCTCAGAATGAGACCTAGGCCGAGCGTGGTGGCTCACGCCTGTGATCTCAGCACTTTGGTAGGCAGAGGTAGGAGAATCATTTGAGGTCAGGGGTTTGAGACCAGCCTGAGCAGCATGGCAAAACCCCGTCTCTACAGAAAAATACGAAAAGTTAGCTGGGTATGGTGGTCCATGCCTGTTGTGTCAGCTACTTGGGAGGCTGATGTGGGAGGTTCGCTTGAGTCCAGAAGGCCAAGGCTGCAGGAAGCTGTGATTGCACCACTGCATTCCAGCCTGGGTGACAGAGGAAGACCCTGTCTCAAAAAAAAACAAAAAACAAAAAAACAAAAAAACAACCAGATGTAGGCTCTGACGCCTGTAATCCCAGCACTTTGGGAGGCCGAGGTGGGCAGATTGCTCGAGGCCAGGAGTTCAAAACCAGCCTGGCCAACATGGCGAAACCCTGTCTCTACTAAAAATTCAAAAATTAGCCGAATGTGGTGGCAGGTGCCTGTAATCCCGGTTACTCGGGAGGCCAAGGCAGGAGAATCACTTGAACCTGGGAGACAGAGGTTGCAGTGAGCCGAGATTGCACCACGCATTGCAGCCTGTGCGACAGTGTGAGACTGTCTCAAAAAACAACAGCAACAACAAGAAAAGATCCACAGCCCGGTTTCCTGAAACTTTTCTGTGTGGGAGATGCCCACAAGGCTGTAGTGTTTAAAATTTTCAATCATGGCCGGGCGTGGTGGCTCACACCTATAATCCCAGCACTTTGAGAGGCCAAGGTGGGTGGATCACTTGAGGTCAGGAGTTCGAGACCAGCCTGGCCAATATGGTGAAACCCCGTCTCTACTAAAAATACAAAGTTAGCTGGGCATGGTGGCGGGTGCCTGTAATCCCAGACACTGGGGAGGCTGAGGCAGGAGGATCGCTTGAACCTGGGAGGTGGAGGTTGCAGTGAGTCGAGATTATGCCACTGCACTCCATCCTGGGCAACAGAGTGAGATTCCATCTCAAAAAACAAAACAAAACAAACAAAAAAACGACCTCGAGCTTTCTTTGGGTGATTAAATAAATGAATGCAAGACCTTAGACCCTTCTTCCCATGCTCACTTCCGTTCGTGTAGCCATCATCCATTCGGCAATATCTGTGGGTGCTCCCCAACAGAAATGTCATGCGAGCTGTGTCTGTAAGTTTTTCAAAAAATGGTTTAATTTTACTTTTGAATCGGAGTCTTGCCCTGTTGCCCAGGCTGGAGTGCAGTGGCGCGATCTCGGCTCACTGCACAGTCCACCTCCTGGGTTCAAGAGATTCTCCTGCCTCAGCTTCCCAAGTAGCTGGGACTACAGGTGCCCACCACCATGCCTGGCTAATTTTTTTTTTTTTTTTTGTATTTTTAGTAGAGATGAGGTTTCACTGTTAACCAGGATGGTCTCGATCTCCTGACCTCCTGATCCGCCCGCCTCAGCCTCCCAAAGTGCTGGGATTACAGGCATGAGCCACCGCGCCCAGCCAAAATGGTTTAATTTTGAAATAATTATAGATGTCAGAGAGGTCTTAGAAGAAGTAAGGTGCTGCTTGCGGTGGCTCATGCCTGTAATCCCAACACTTTGGGAGGCGGAGGCAGGTGGATCACCTGAGGTCAGGAGTTCGAGACAGGCCTGGCCAACATGGCGAAACCTCTCTACTAAAAATAAAAAAATTAGCTGGGTATGGTGGTGCGTGCGTATAATCCCAGCTACTGGGGAGGCTGAGGCAAGAGAATCGCTTGAACCCAGGAGGCGGAGCTTGCAGTGATCCGAGATGGCTCCACTGTACTCCAGCCTGGGCAACAGAGCAAGACTCTGTCAAAAACAAAACAAAAGAGAAAAGAAAAGTTTAGCAGTGAGTCAGCCCTTGGAAGCTCCCATTTCCCAGATGGGAAGCTTGTGGTCCAGACCCTAATAACGGTGGGGACCCTCAGTATCGGCTGGATCACAATGCAATCTAGGAGCCCAGGGCCCTGACCCTTTCTCCCCCTGGCCCTTGTCTCTCCGCAGAGTGCGTCTCCCTCGCCTCCTGAGAGTCTCGTGGAGGAGGAGCGACTGAGTGGCCCTGGTGGTGGTGGGAAGCAGAGAGCAGATGAGAAAGAGCTGTCCGGACCTTATGTGAGTGGGGGCAGGTGCAGGACTGGGGTGGGGATGCCCTCAGAACCTTCCAGAGCCCAGCTCTGGCCATGATTCTCTCACTCCAGAGCCTTCCATCGCTCCCTACTACTCAGAGTACTGACCAATCAGAGGAGATCCTGTGATGCAAGGCTTAACTCCAGTTGTTTGAAGTCTCTGTGGCCTCTGGCCCATACAGCCATTTTCCCACCCTCTAACTTTTGCTCCAGCTGTTTTCTTTCCCGAGAACACACATGTTTTAGAAAACCTGTTTTTCCGTCAAGACACAAGGTACCACCTCCTACAGGAAGCCTTCCCTGACCACCTCCTAGAGGCTGGGACCTCCTCTTACTGCCAGACAGCTGCACACTTGTAGTTTCAAACTCTAGCGTCCCAGGGGCCAGGCTGAGTGTGGGGAATGGGGCTGTGGCCAGCTGGGGAGCCCTTCTCCCACCTACGGGGGCAGCTGCAACTTGGTCCTCGGAGACTGGCAGGCTCAGTGTGGGCCAATATTGCCGTTTCTCAGAGAAGCCTTAAATCTTTCTTTTTGCCTAATAGCTGTTTTTTTTTTTTGGCAATGAATTTTATTTATTTATTTATTGAGGCAGAGTCTTGTTCTCTTGCCCAGTCTAGAGTGCAATGGCACGATCTCAGCTCACTGCAGCCTCCGCCTCCTGGGTTCAAGCGATTCTTCTGCGTCAGCCTACCCAGTAGCTGGGATTACAGGCACCCGCCACCACACCTAGCTAATTTTTGTATTTTTAGTAGAGATCGGGGTTTCACCGTGTTGGCCAGGCTGGTCTCAAACTCCTGACCTCAGGTGATCCACCTGCCTTGGTCTCCCAAAGTGCTGGATTACAGGTGTGAGCCATCGCACCTGGATGTAACAAATTTTCATATAAAGAAGAAAACTGAGCATAGGAAGGGAGTCTAGGAGAACCCACCCACTGGGTGGATTTTGTCTTCCAGGCTGCAACCTTTTTTCTTCCTTTGGTTTCCAGCCCAACCAGAGGTTGCCCTGCAGCCCAGCATGTCAGTGGTGTCCCATCCCACCTCGCTCCCTGCCATGGTACCCAGGATAGTGTTGTCTGCATCAGTGAATAGAATTGGAGCTTGGTCTGTCTTCCAAAGCAATGGGGAGCCATAGAGGGTTGCAGAGCAGAGGTGGGGATAGGTCTTAGGAAAATCTGTCTGGGGCCAGCTTGGAGGGTTGCCTGGAAGGGGCAAGGCTGGAGGCCAGGAGCCCCAGGAAGGGATTAGGAGGGGATGAGGTCTGTCCTAGGGCTGTAGTGGGTGGAAATGGCCAGAGAGATGAGTGAGACAGACATGCCCGAGGGACTGCTTGACTTCGTTGGCGAGATCAAGGAAGGAGGTAAGGGCGATTCCTGGTCTCTGGTTCTCCCCTTACCATACAGGGGGTAAACTGAGGTCTGAGAGGACCGGGAGTCACACAAGGCACTCATGTAGTCCACATCCTTCAAAGTCCTCTCCACAAGGTGCCCACCTGCCCGGCCGACCCCGTCCTTCCCAGATGCGGGCACGTGCGGCGTTCCCTTCTGCTCTGAGCAAACGGATGCAGGGGTCTGAGAATCCCAGTCATGCCTTGGGGCTGGCTGGGCTCATGCCCCCAACTCCTGGGGAGTGGATGGGGGCGCGGAGACAGGGGCATGACCACGATGGGCTCTCTCCCCCATCTCCCACCAGGAAAGTGACGAAGACAAGAGTGACTACAATCTGGTGGTGGATGAGGTGAGTCCAGGGGTCCAGCCTCTTCCCCTACTCTAGGCACAGAGCAAGAGGTGGGTTTTCTGGAATGGGAGGACTCAGAGGTAGTGGGGGTCCTGGTTCCCCCCTCTGTGGGACAGCTGGGATGGGGCCAGGAAGCGTCGGGGGCTCCCTGACACCTCTGGCTGACCTCCTCTCCATTGCATGGGCAGTGACTTCAAGCCCGGGCTCACTAAGTGATTTGTGGGCAGTGACATCCCCACTTCCCTGGCCTCACTTTTCCCCATCTGTTCAATGGGAAAATAAAACCAAGGCCTTATGTAGTCCTTGCTATGGGTGCTTATGGAGTAGAGCCTATCATTAAACCCATTTTACAGGCTGGGCATGGTGGCTCACACCTGTAATCCCAGCACTTTGGGAGACTGAGGCGGATGGATCACTTGAGGTCAGGAGTTTGAGACCAGCCTGACAACATGGTGAAACCCTGTCTCTACTAAAAATACAAAACAATTAGCTGGATGTGCTTGCTTGAACCCAGGAGGCGGAGGTTGCAGGAAGCCACTGTACTCCAGCCTGGGTGACGGAGTGAGACTCAAAAAAAAAAAAAAAAATACATTTTACAGATGAGTAAACTGAGGCAGCAGGAGGTTTCATAATCTTCCTGTGGTGGGTCGTGGGTACCCATTCTAGAGATTGGGGTGGGAGTCGGGAGGAGGATAGAGAGGGACTCTTTCTCATTTCAACTCTGCTCAATGTTACCTTCTCGAACCCAGGACCAACCCTCAGAGCCCCCCAGCCCGGCTACCACCCCCTGCGGAAAGGTACCCATCTGTGTTCCTGCCCGTCGGGACCTGGTGGACAGTCCGGCCTCCTTGGCCTCTAGCCTTGGCTCACCGCTCCCTAGAGCCAAGGAGCTCATCCTGGTAAGGAGGAGGGGAGGGCCTTGAAACTCACTTTATTCATCCTGGGGGCCTGGAAACAGACACTACCCCATGACACAGAGGGCAATGATGAGAAATCAGCCCGGCTGGCATTGTCCACCCTCTCCTTGTGCTTTTTTTTTTTAACCTCCCGCTGGGACTGACTTTGTTGAACCTCAGTAAATATTAAAAGGCAACTTTGTAAAGAAGCTTTGTAGATAAATTTTAAGAGGCAATTCACCACCTTACATGGAAAGCAGGTCTCTCTCTCGCAATCAATAGGAAATCCCATGGAAATAAACACAGTGAAAGCCCAGCCAGCTAAGCTGGACCCAGGCCTGCATGTGTTGAGCCCTTCCAGAGGCGCTTAGAGACACACCAGCCCCCAGCTGAGATGTTGTCCCCGGAAGGAAAGATAATTAATATAGGAACAACTTTCCGGTTGGACCTCCTGGAGTTTAATGCCAGGCATGTAAGCCATCTAAAAGCACCCCCAGGGCATTCGAAATTCAGCTCCTTTTGTGGCTCCCCTCACCCCAAATCTTCTCCAGACCCCTCCCCTGCACTTACCAGGGGAGAGTATGTCGGTTTCTAGGCCTCCCCTCCCGGTTTCAAGGCCTCCCCTCTTGGCAGGTTACCATGGCAACCGCCAGAGGTTGGGGCTCCCATTCTATCTTAAGTGCCCTCCTCCCACTGCGGGAAAAACCTTACGAGGGGGTAGGGCAGCTCCGTTGTATTAGAGAAGCCCTCAGGGGTCCTCCCTGACCCCACAGTTGTCCCATCCACTCTCTCGCGGGTGCGGGTGCTGTGCAGCTGTCAGCGTGTGTGCGATGGTGTCATGGGAAGCCGAGACAGACGCAAGACAAGGATGCGAAGTTTCTTGGGAGGCAGGGGAGGCGGTGACATGAAGCCGAGATAACAGAACCTGCCCCTAGATGGAGGTCCAGCTGCTGCTTTCCTCAGAGCTCCCCTTGGGGAAGGACAGCTCTGGGCGACACCTCCCTCTCCGTGGGGGGTACAAGGAGGACTGCACTGTGTGCTGGGCGTTCTTCCTTCGCCTGAGAATGTGCCGCGGTGGGGTCTGCCTCTCCACGAGCCCATCCCGGAGTTTCTAATTCCTTGTCGTTCAAGAATCTCAACAGTGGCTGCGGGCTGTGGCTCATGCCTGTCATCCCAGGGCTTTGGGAGGCCAAGGCAGGACGATCACTCAAGAGCAGGAGTTGGAGACCAGCCTGGGCAACATAGTGAGACCTTGTCTCTACAAAAAAATTTAAAAAGTTAGCCGGGCATGGAGACGTGTGCCTGTAGTGCCAGCTACTTGGGAGGCTGAGTCGGGAGGATCAGTTGAGTGTGGGAGGTTGAGGCTGCATTGAGCTACGAGCGTGCCTTTTTTGTTTGTTTGTTTTATGTTTTTTGTTTTGGAGATGGGGTCTCTCTCTGTCACCCAGTCTGGAGTGCAGTGGCGCGATCTCAGCTCACTGCAACCACTGCCTCCCAGGTTCAAGAGATTCTCCTGTCTCAGCCTCCCGGATAGTGGGTAGCTGGGACTACAGGTGCGCGCCACCACGCCTGGCTAATTTTTTGTATTTTTAGTAGAACAGAGTTTCACTGTGTTAGCCAGGATGGTCTAGATCTCCTGATCTCAGGTGATCTGCCCGCCCTGGCCTCCCAACGTGCTGGGATCACAGGCATGAGCCGCAGTGCCTATCTGATCATGTTACTTTTGAGAGCAAGACCCTGTATTAAAAAAAAAAAAAATGCAAAATTTTAACACCTAAAACTTTTTTAATTTTTTGCCTTTTTTTTTTTTTTTTTTTGGTGGAATTTTGCTCTTGTTGCCTAGGCTAGAGTGCAATGGCCTGATCCCAGCTCACTGCAACTTCTGCCTCCTGGGTTCAGGCAAGTCTCCTGCCTCAGCCTCCCGAGTAGCTGGAATTACAGGCACGTGCCACCATGTCCAGCTAATTTTGTATTTTTAGTAGACAGGGTTTCACCATGTTGGCCAGGGTGGTCTCAAACTCCTGACCTCAAGTGATCCACCTGCCTTGGCCTCCCAAAGTGTTGGGATTACAGGCGTGAACCACCGCTCCCAGCCGAGGCAGAGTCGTGTTCTGCTGCTGAGGCTGGAGTGCAATGGCGTGATCTCAGCTCACTGCAACCTCCACCTCCTGGGTTCAAGCAATTCTCCTCCTGCCTCAGCCTCCTGAGTAGCTGGGATCACAGGCATGCGCCACCACGCCCAGCTAATCTTTTTTTGTATTTTTAGTAGAGATGTGGTTTTACCATGTTACCATGTTGGCCAGGCTGGTCTCTAACTCCTGACCTCAGGTGATCCGTCCACCTGGGCCTCCCAAAGTGTTGGGATTACAGGCGTGAGACACTGCGACTGGCCCCCACAGTTTCTGATCGGATCATTAGGCCACAAGACACCAGGTGTCTGGTGGCATTCAGTCCTGCCCTTTCTCTGCAGAATGACCTTCCCCCCAGCACTCCTGCCTCCAAGTCCTGCGACTCCTCCCCGCCCCAGGACGCGTCCACCCCTGGGCCCAGCTCAGCCAGTCACCTCTGCCAGCTCTCTGCCAAGCCAGCGCCTTCCACGGACAGCATCGGTGAGCACCTTGCCTGTTGGTGCCTGTCCGGAGCAGGCCTCATCTCCAGGGAGATCTAGGAAAAGGGGCTGGAGAGGCAGAAGGCTGAGATTCCAGGCCTGGCGTTCATTGCCTTAGTCCTTTTTGTGACTTCAAGTTAGACTCTGCCTCCCTCTGGGCAGGTCCTCGTTGTCTCAGCTTGGCAGGCAGGGAAACTGAGGCCTGGAGCGTGGAAGGGGCTTAGTCGCAGGTTTCAGCCCTAGTGCACTGGAGAGACGATCTTCAGGGCCAGACGGGCTTGGGTTTCAGACCAAGCTTGGGTATTCACCAGCTGGGTGACCTTGGGCAAGTGACCCAACCTCTCTGAGCCTCAGTTTCCCGATCAGTAATCTGGGGAATGACAGTGGTCATCTTTTCTGCCTTACGGTCACGCCCTGGGCTGGTTCCGGGGCCCCTGAAAAAAGTTGTCCTTGGAACCTGCCCTCAAGGAACTCCCAGGTGGCAAAAAGGGACGAAACCCAGACCCCAAAACTCACAGCCCTGTATAATCAGGGCTGGTACCAAGCCAGGTGCCCAAGAAGGGCAAAGCTGGAGGCTGGCAATGGGGAGGCCCAAGGATGTTTCTGAGATGTTAAGGGACATTGGGCCTCAATTTTTTTTTCTTTTTTTTTTTTTTTTTTGAGACGGAGTTTCACTCTTGTTGCCCAGGCTAGAGTGCAATGGCGCGATCTCAGCTCATGGCAACCTCCTGCTCCCGGCTTCAAGCAATTCTCCTGCCTCAGTCTCCTGAGTAGCTGGAATTACAGGCACACGCCACCATGCCCAGCTAATTTTTGTATTTTTAGTAGAGACCAGGTTTCACTATGTTGGTCAGGCTGGTCTTGAACTCCTGACCTCAGGTGATCCTCCCACTTCGACCTTCCAAAGTGCTGGGATTACAGGCATGAGCCTGGGTTTTGAAGGATCGGTAGGAGTTTGCCAATTAAAAGAAAGAGAATGGCCATAGTCCCAGCTACGCGGGAGGCTGAGGCAGCAGAATTGCTTGAACCCAGGAGGCGGAGGTTTCAGTGAGCCGCGATCGTGCTCCTGATCTCCGGCCTGGCAACAGAGCAAGATTCCATCTAAAAAAAAAAAGAGGGAGAGAAAGTCATGTCCACCGGAGGAACGGTAGTGCAGAGGTCTGGAGGTGTCCCGGGCTATGGCCACTGTGGGACCAGCGCATGGAAACTCCGAATGAAAGGCCAGGGAGCTCCCAAGGCAGTGGGAGGTGGGATCTGGGTCCAGGGTGTCAAAACCTGTCCCCGACTCTTCCCTCTCAGCCCTGAGGAGCCCCCTGACTCTGTCCAGTCCCTTCACCACGTCCTTCAGCCTGGGCTCCCACAGCACCCTCAATGGAGACCTCTCTGTGCCCAGCTCCTATGTCAGCCTCCACCTGTCCCCTCAGGTCAGCAGCTCTGTGGTATACGGACGCTCCCCCATGGTGAGTCCTTGGGTGGGGGCGTAGGAGGTGTCAGCAGGGCCCAGGGGCTGGGGGCCGGGAGGAGAAACCAACTACACAAGGAGAGACACGAGAGTGCAGAAAGGGAAGGGAGCCCTGGCTCAGCAAGTGTGCATGGGAAGACGATCTGGGGGTCTCAGTAGTCCCACAAGCTTAATACAAAGCAGGACTTGTGATTGTGGAAAAATGCAATGGTGATTAAGCTGCATGAAAAGGAGCAGTAGGGCCTTGGCCTTAGGACACTGTTTACAAAAGCGAGCAGTGGACCAGATTTGTCCCGGGGGGCTGGAGTTTAGAGACCTCTGTCATAGAGCCAGTCTGGACGTTGGATGGAGAACTCTTCAGGATCCTTGGAACCCTGGAGTTCTAGGATTTCCTGGACAGAGATTTTGGGGCCGGTGCCCTCAAGTGAAAACCTCAGCCCTCCCTGTGTAGTGTGACAGGCAGAGAGAAGCCATCTCTGCTTCCTTGGGGAGGGGCTGATAAACAACGGCATGGCAGGTGGGCGTGGGCCAGCACAGAGGTGGGTTGGAGTCACCTGCCTCACTGACAGCCCCTCTGGCATTCTGACAGATGGCATTTGAGTCTCACCCGCATCTCCGAGGGTCATCCGTCTCTTCCTCCCTACCCAGCATCCCTGGGGGAAAGCCGTGAGTACCAGGGTGGGGTTTCCTGCCTGGGGACCCAGGCCAGCCCCCCACCTCCTCTGAGGTCTTACCCTGTGTGGTTGGGGTCTCCCTGCTCCCCTTCTAGAAAGTCTCGTGTGGGCCGGGCACGGTGGTTCACGCCTGTAATCTCAGCACTTAGGGAGGCCGAGGCAGGCGGATCACTTGAGGTCAGGAGTTTGACACCAGCCTGGCCAACATGGCGAAACCCCGTCTCTACTAAAAATACAAAAATTAGCTGGATGTGGTGGCGGGCACCTGTAATCCCAGCTACTTGGGAGGCTGAGGCATGAGAATCGCTTGAACCTGGGAGGTGGAGGTTGCAGTGAGCTGAGACTGCGCCGCTGCACTCCAGCCTGGGCAACAAGAGCAAAACTCTGTCTCAAAGAAAAAAAAAAAGAAAGAAAAAAAGAAAGGCCAGGCGCGGTGGCTCAAGCCTGTAATCCCAGCACTTTGGGAGGCTGAGTCGGGTGGATCACGAGGTCAGGAGATTGAGACCATCCTGGCTAACACGATGAAACCCCGTCTCTACTAAAAAATACAAAAAAACTAGCCGGGCGAGGTGTCGGGCGCCTGTAGTCCCAGCTACTCGGGAGGCTGAGGCAGGAGAATGGTGTAAACCCGGGAGGCGGAGCTTGCAGTGAGCTGAGATCCGGCCACTGCACTCCAGCCTGGGCGACAGAGCGAGACTCCGTCTCAAAAAAAAAAAAAAGAAAAGAAAAAAAGAAAGTCTCTTGTGTAAGCTACTCGGAGTTCCACTGGCTCTCCATAGAAGTAGACTCTGACCCCTAAGGGGACACTGGGTGATGTCAGAGGACATGTGTGGTTGTCACAGCTGGGGGAGGAAATGCTCCTGGCCTGGAGTGTGGAGGCCAGGGATGCTGCTTAGCACCCTGCTAACGGGGACGGCTCCCCCAGCGAAGACAGCCCCAATGTCCACAGAACTTTCTGCAGTGATGGAGGTGTTCTACACCCACTGCTGGCCAACCCGATTGCCACCAGCTGATAGTGGCTTTGAGTACTTGAAATGTGGCCAGTGCAACTGAGGAGCTGAAAATTTTTGTTTTGTTTTGTTTTTTGAGACAAAGTTTCACTCTGTGCCCCAGGCCTGAGTACAGGGGTGAGATCTCAGCTCACTGTAACCTCCACCTCCTGGGTTCAAGCGATTCTCCTGCTCCAGCCTCCCGAGTAGCTGGGATTACAGGCCTGTACCACTGCCAGCTAATTTTTGTATTTTTAGTAGAGATGGGGTTTCACGATGTTGGCCAGGCTGGTTTTGAACTCCTGACTTCAAATGATCCACCTACCTCAGCCTCCCAAAGTTCTGAGATTCCAGGTGTGAGCCACTGTGCCGGCCTGAAAATGTTTATTTAATTTCAGTTCATTTAAGTATCTTAACTGGTCACAGGTGGCCGGGGCTCCTAGGACAGCACCTTCTAGCTGGTCTGAAACATTCAACATGCCTTTGTGGGTCCTTGGTTGAATGAACGTTTATTAAGTGTTTATTTACCATGCGCCACACCACGACCTAGACCCCCTGTGTATTTGTGCCACCCACTGACTGTCCCATATCACTTTTGACCACGTTGTCCTGCCTTTTTCCTAAATGAATCAGAGGCCGAGCACCATGGCTCACTCCTGTCATCCCAGGGCTTTGGGAGGCCAAGGTGGGAGGATCACTTGAAGCCAGGAGTTTGAGACCAGCCCGGGCAACATAGCAAGACCTCATCTCTACAAAATAATAATAGAGATAATTACTTTAAAAAAATGCATCATAGGCCAGGCCTGGTGGCTCACGCCTGTAATCCCAGGGAGGCCGAGGTGGGTGGGTCATTTGAGGTCAGGAGTTTGAGACCAGCCTGACCAACATGGTGAAAACCTGTCTCTAGTAAAAATACAAAAAAATTAGCCAGGCGTGGTGGCCTGTGCCTGTAATCCCAGCTCCTTGGGAGACTGAGGCAGGAGAATCGCTTGGACCCGGGAAGCAGAGGTTACAGTGAGCCCAGATCATGCCACTGCACTCCAGCCTGGGCGACAGAGCGGGACTCTGTCTCAAAAAACAAACCAAAAAAACACATCAGGCTGGGCCTGGTGGCTCATGCCTGTAATCCTAGCACTTTGGGAGGCCGAGATGGGTGGATCACTTGAGGTTCGGAGTTCAAAACCAGCCTGGCCAACATGGTGAAACCCTGTCTCTACTAAAAATACAAAAAACTTAGCCGAGCGTGGTGGCGCATGCCTGTAATCCCAGCTACTCGAGAGGCCGAGGCAGGAGAATCGCTTGAACCCAGGAGGCAGAGGTTGCAGTGAGCTGAGATCCGGCCACTGCACTCCAGCCCTGGCAACAGGGTGAGACTGCCTCTCAAAAAAACAAAAGGGCCACGTGTGGTGGTTCACGCCTGTAATCCCAGCACTTTGGGAGGCCCAGACGGGCGGATCACGAGGTCAGGAGATCGAGACCATTCTGGCTAACATGGTGAAACCCCGTCTCTACTAAAAATACAAAAAATTAGCCAGGCGTGGTGGCGGCGCCTGTAGTCCCAGTTACTCGGGAGGCTGAGGCAGGAGAATGGCGTGAACCCGGGAGGCAGAGCTTGCAGTGAGCTGAGATTGTACCACTGCACTCCTGCCTGGGCGACAGAGCGAGACTGTATCTCAAAAATAAATAAATAAACGCATCAGAGGATGCCAGGCAGGACAAAGGCGTCTCCCTGCCCTCCCAGGTGTGGGGGCGTGGTGCCCAGGGCTGGGTCATGCCCCGACTTTCTCTCCAGGGCCTACTCCTTCCACGTGTCTGCGGACGGACAGATGCAGCCCGTGCCCTTCCCCTCGGATGCACTGGTGGGCGCAGGCATCCCACGGCACGCCCGGCAGCTGCACACGCTGGCACACGGCGAGGTGGTCTGCGCAGTCACCATCAGCGGCTCCACGCAGCACGTGTACACGGGCGGCAAGGGCTGTGTGAAGGTGTGGGACGTGGGCCAGCCTGGGGCCAAGACGCCCGTGGCCCAGCTCGACTGCCTGGTGAGGGCGGGGGTGGGACAGTGGGCGGGACTCACAACTGAGGGGTGGAGCTTGTGTTCAAATGGGGCGGTGTTTGCAGGCTGGGTGTGGGTGGGGCTACATGTGAAGGGCGGGGCTTATAGGTGAAGGGTGGAGCTTGTAGTCACTTGGGGCAGGGCTTGCAAGCCAAAGGGGTGGGGCTCATTGGCCAATCAGAATTAGGCTTGCAAGACAATCAGGGTTTGCAGGCCAAGTATGGGTGGGGTTTATAGGTAAAGGATGGAGCTTATAGTCAGATGGGGCAGCATTTGCGAGTCAAAGGGACGTGGCTCACCAGCAATCAGGGTAGGGCTTGCAGGCCAACCATAGATGGGGTTTACAGGTGAAGGGCGGAGCTTGTCAAATGGAACAGGGTTTGTGGGCTAAAGGGGTGGGTTTTGCTGGCCAGTCAGGGTAGGGCTTGCAGGATAATCAGGATGAGGCTACCTTGGGCTCCAGAGACCCCCACATTGAGCTAGGCTCCTAGAGGCCTCACCTGGGACCAACCCCCAGCCCCTGCTTCTCTCCCCGACCCCAGAACCGAGACAACTACATTCGCTCCTGCAAGTTGCTGCCGGATGGCCGGAGTCTGATAGTGGGCGGTGAGGCCAGCACCTTGTCCATTTGGGACCTGGCGGCACCCACGCCCCGTATCAAGGCCGAGCTAACCTCCTCGGCCCCGGCCTGCTACGCCCTGGCCGTCAGCCCCGACGCCAAGGTTTGCTTCTCCTGCTGCAGCGATGGCAACATTGTGGTCTGGGACCTGCAGAACCAGACTATGGTCAGGTGGGTGGCAGGTGCGCTAGGACCTTGGTCAAGCCCCCGGCCCCTCTTGGTGCAGGGAGGGTGGAGGAGTGACCTGGAAGGACCCTGGGGCAGCTCGAATTCCAAGATGGACACCTGGGCCCTTCTCCCTCTAGGCAGTTCCAGGGCCACACGGACGGTGCCAGCTGCATTGATATTTCCGATTACGGCACTCGGCTCTGGACAGGGGGCCTGGACAACACGGTGCGCTGCTGGGACCTGCGGGAGGGCCGCCAGCTGCAGCAGCACGACTTCAGCTCCCAGGTGCTGTTCGGTTCTGGCGGGAGGGGGATGGAAGCTCTAGGAATCCAGCGTCCCTTCCTTTCCTTGTGAGGTGCCCACTTCTACAAGCAGGACAGGACTCATATCTGCTATGGTGCCCATCTTTCTTGTCCTCCAGACACATCCACAAGCTTCCCCTTTAACTCTCTAAGGACGTAAGGGAACACAAAAGAGCTGATGATTCATATGAAGCTGTGGGGCTACTGAGACCCCCAGATCATCTTCCCCACCTGCTTGTGTCCAGCCATACCCTTATATGTGTCTTTCCTCGTGCAGCTGGGTTCTCCCAGCCTTTAATCTCTGGACCCCGCCCAGAGCATGGGACAAACACTTCCCCACCGAGGACTCACCAAGGGGAGCTACTGGCCAGGAGGACAGAGTGGAGGTTGATGGAGGAGGAGCTGGGCATGGAGAGATCCCCACTGAGGTGGAGCCTAAGCTGAAGGACATGGTGAAGGGGCTGGACAGAACTGGGGGCTCCTCAGGGCTGAGCAAAGAGAGCGAATCTTCAGGCACTGTGACCCTAGATCCTGCCTCTCACCTGCTTTGGGGGCAGGCTGTGAGCTCCTTGTTCTGTCATTCAGGGTTTCCATGGGCTGGTCTCATGCACAGCATACTCTGGGACAGCTCTGAGACCTCTGCACATTTGTTCCCTGTGGCTGAAATGCCTTTCTCTTCTTTCTGTAATTAGCAAACTCCTATTCATCCCTCAAGACCCATCTCATTTGCCCCTCCTTGAAACCTAAGAGGAGCTAACTCCTAACTCCCAAACTCTTTTTTTTTTTTTTTTTTTTTTTGAGATAGGGATGCAGTGGCATGATCTCAGCTCACTGCAACCTCTGCCTCCCAGGTTCAAATGATTCTCATGCCTCAGTCACCTGAGTAGCTGGGACTACAGGCATGCACCACCATGCCTGCCTAATTTTTGTATTTGTTGGTAGAGACAGGGTTTCACTGTGTTGTCCAGGCTAGTCTTGGACTCCTGGCTTCAAATGATCCACCTGCCTTAGCTTCCCAGTGTGGGAATTACAGGTGTGAGCCACCGCGCCCTGCCTCCCAGGCTCATTATGTCCAACCCATTGTTCTTTCATTTGACGAACTGTTTGATAGGGAAATGAGGAGTGCAGGTGGACAGAGTTCTCCATCCCATATCCCCGAAGCTTAGTTGAGCTAAGAACATTTCTAGGGATGCCATGGTGAATATCTCCTAGTTCACTGGGTGCCCCTCAATGCGTCTCTACTCAGGAATGCTTCTGTATGGCCAGGAAACGACATTTGAAGCCCTCCAGTCTTCTCTTCTGTAAATGTGTGGTTATTTCCACAGGCGTCTTGTTAGTGAGACTCCAAGCGGTTTAGGGTGGAACAGAGCCTGATTCCTGTTTGTGCCTAAAATGGGGTGGGCTACAGGAGGAGGAGGACCCTGAATCCTTTTAAAATCAAACCAAAAAGCACCATTGCAAATGGGGAACATTCCAGGCCAGGCTCAGTGACTGACGCCTGTAATCGCAGCACTTTGGGAGGCTGAGGTGGGTGGATTGCTTGAGGTCGGGAGTTCAAGACCAGCCTGACCAATATGGAGAAACTCTGTCTCTACTAAAAATACAAAATTAGCTGGGTGTGGTGGTGCATGCCTGTAATCCCAGCTATTTGGGAGGCTGAGGCAGGAGAATTGCTTGAACCTGGGAGGCAGAGTTTGCGGTGAGCCGAGATCGTGCCATTGCACTCCAGCCTGGGCAAGAAAAGCGAAACTCTAATAATAATAATAATAATAATAATAAAAAACAATGAAAAGCAGCATTGCAAATGGGGAACATTCCAGGCCAGGCTCAGTGGCCAACGCCTGTAATCCCAGCAGTTCGGGAGGCTGAGGCAGGAGGATCGCTTGAGCCTAGGAGATTGAGATCGGCCTTGGCAACATAGCAAGACCTTGTCCCTACAAAAAAATTAAAAATAAGGCATGGTGGGCCGGGCGCTGTGGCTCACGCCTGTAATCCCAGCACTTTGGGAGGCTGAGGTGGGCGGATCACGAGGTCAGGGAATCAAGACCATCCTGGCTAACACGGTGAAACCCTGTCTCTACTAAAAATACAAAAAACTACCCGGGTGTGGGGGCAGACACCCGTAGTCCCAGCTACTCAGAAGGCTCAGGCAGGAGAATGACGTGAACCCAGGAGGCAGAGCTTGCAGTGAGCCAAGATCGCACCACTGCACTCCAGCCTGGGTGAAAGTGCGAGACTCCGTCTCAAAATAAACAAATAAATAAATAAGGCATGATGGCACACATCTGTGATCACAGCTACTTGTGAGGCTGAGGTGGGAGGATCACTTGAGCCTGGGAGGAGGTCGAGGCTGCTGTGGGTCATGATCGCACCACTGCACTCCAGCCTGGGCGACTGAGCCAGACTCCGTCTCAAAAAAAAAAAAAAAAAAAAAAAAAGTAGGGAACATTCCAATCGTGGGGAACATTTCAAGCTAAGAGTGAAGTCCTGTCTCCCAGGCCTGGCTTGTCTATTTTGTTTTTGGGGTTTTTTGGTGTTTTGTTTTGTTTGTTTTGTTTTGGGGCAAGAGTCTTACTCTGTCACCCATGCCAGTTGTTTTTGGGGTTTTTTTTGGTGTTTTGTTTTGTTTTGTTTTGTTTTGAGACAGAGTCTTGCTCTGTCACCCATGCTGGAGTACAGTGGTGCAATCTCAGCTCACTGCAACTTCCACCTCCCAGGTTCAAGCGATTCTCCTGCCTCAGTCTCCCAAGTAGCTGGGATTACAGGTGCCCACCATCACACCTGGCTAATGTTTGCATTTTTAGTAGAGATGGGGTTTTGCCCTGTTGGCCAGGCTGGTCACGAACTCCTGACCTCAGATGATCCGCCTGCCTTGGCCTCCTAAAGCGTTGGGATTACTGGCATGAGCCACAGAGCCTGGCCAAGGCCCGGTCTTTCATAGCCTTGCTGTGTGACCTTGAGGGGACACTGCCTCAGCTTCCACCATCTGCTTAAGGGGAGTGATTGTCCTTGCCTGGCTGTTCCCTTCTCTGTCTCTTCTCCCTCCTCTCTGCCTCCTCCCTGTGCTGTTGTGCGCTCAGAGCAGATAATGGATGTGCAGCCCCAGGATTCTGTGTAATTCTGATTAATATTAATGATTCGACATGCAGTTGTCTGCTGTGTTCCCAGTCCTGGGCCAGCTGCCTTTCTCTGGGAGGGCTGAAGAGGGAGAATGTTGGACTCCACCCCCCAACCCTGATGGTGCTGGGCACCCCCCAATATCCAAAGGGACTTGTAGGCTGGACATAGTGGCTCACACCTGTAATCCCAGCACTTTGGGAGGCCAAGACGGGCAGATCACTTGAGGTTAGCAGTTTGAGACCAGCCTGGCCAACACAAGTGAAACTCCGTCTTTACTAAAAATACAAAAATTACCTGGGCATGCCAGCAGGCACCTGTAATCCCAGCTACTTGGGAGGCTGAGGCAGGAGAATCCCTTGAACTTGGGAGGCAGAGGCTGCAGTGAGCTGAGATTGTAACATTGCACTGCAGCCTGAATGACACAGTGAGACTCCGTCTGAAAAAAATAAATTTATCCAGCGTGATGGCGCATGCCTGTAATCCCAGCTACTCAGGAGACTGAGGCAGGAGGATCACTTGAACCCTGGAGGTCGAGGCTGCAGTGAGCCATGATTGCACCACTGCACTGCAGCCTGGGTGACGGAGTGAACCCAGGAGACACAAAACAAAGGGGGGCTCGTGACCCCTTCTCTTCCCTCTTTACCCCTAGATTTTCTCCCTGGGTCACTGCCCTAACCAGGACTGGCTGGCGGTCGGAATGGAGAGTAGCAATGTGGAGATCCTGCACGTCCGCAAGCCGGAGAAATACCAGCTGCACCTCCACGAGAGCTGCGTGCTGTCCCTGAAGTTTGCCTCCTGTGGTGTGTCTTCTGGGGTGGGGGGGCACACCCCCAAAACCACAACAAAACCCAGGGTGCCTATTCAATCCAAATCTTAGATAAATAACAAATAATGTTATTTATATACTGTTATTTCTATACTAAGTTTTATATACTCAAAAGCAAATCGTTAGTACAACTATATCCCAAATGGTGTGTGGGATATACTTATACTAAAAACCAAATAATGAAATATTTGGGATATACCTGTCCTAAAAATTACTGATGACTTATCCGAGATTCAAATTTAAGGCTGGGTGCAGTAGCTCATGCCTGTCATCCCAACACTCTGGGAGGCCAAGGCAGGCAGATCACCTGAGGTCAGGAGTTCGAGACCAGCCTGGCCAACATGGTGAAACCCTGACTCTATTAAAAGTGCAAAAATTAGCCAGGTGTGGTGATGGGTGCCTGTAATCCCAGCTACTTGGGAGGTTGAGGCAGGAGAATCGCTTGAATCTGGGAGGTGGAAGTCGCAGTAAGCCAAGATCATGCCACTGCACTCTAGTCTGAATGAACAACACTCTATCTCAAAAAGAAAAAAAAAAGAAAAAAAGAAATTTAAGCCAGGCACAGTAGCTGATGCATGTAGTTTCAGCTACTTGGGACACTAAGGCAGAAGGATTGCCCAAGACCAGTAGTTCAAGACCAGCCTGGGCAACATAGCAAGACTTTCTCTACAAAGAAATAAAACAGCCGGGTATGGTGGCTTGCACCTGTAGTCCCAACTACTAGGGAGGCTGAGGCAGGAGGATTGCTTGAGCCTAGGACTTTGAGGCTGTAGGGAGCTATGACTGCATCACTGCCCTCTAGCCTGTGCAATGCAGTGAGACCCTCTCTTAAAAAAATCATCTGTTAGTGTAAGTATATCCTAAATAGTACATGAGATACCTTATACCAAAAAAAAAAAAAAAAAAAGTACTTGGGCTGGGCACGGTGACTCACACCTGTAATCCCAGCATTTTGGGAGACCAAGGTGGGAGGTTCGCTTGAGGCCAGGAGTTTGAGACTAGCCTGGGGAGCATAGTCAGATCCCAACTCTACAAATAGTAATTTTCCGTCCATTAATTTTTTTTTTTTTTGAGATGGAGTCTCACTCCGTTGCCCAGGCTGGCGTGCAGTGGCATGATCTTGGCTCACTGCAACCTCCATGTCCCAGGTTCAAGCACTTCTCAACTCTCAGCCTCCCACGTAGCTGGAGTTACAGATGCCTGCCACCACGTCCAGCTGATTTTTGTGTTTTTAGTAGAGAAGTGGTTTCACCACGTTGGCCAGGCTGATCTCAAACTCCTGACCTCAAGTGACCCAGCTGCCTTGGCCTCCCAAAGTGCTGGGATTATAGGTGCGAGCCAGCGCGCCTGGCAAAAACTAAAAATGTTAGCTGGGCGTGGTGTTGCACACCTGTGGTCCCAGCTGCTTGGGAGGCTGGGTGGGAGGCACGCTTGAGCCCAGGCAGTTGAGGCTGCAATGAGCTATGATTGTACCACTGCACTCCAGCCTGGGTGACAGAGCAAGACCCTTTCTGGGAAAAAAAAAAAAAAAAAGGAAAAGGGAGAGGCCAGACCCAGCCTGCCCCACCTCCCCCTGCAGCCCTGGCCTCTCTTCAGTGCCCCGCCTTGAACCCCACTGCTCTCCTTCCCCAAGGACGGTGGTTTGTCAGCACTGGGAAGGACAATCTGCTCAACGCCTGGAGGACGCCGTACGGGGCCAGCATTTTCCAGGTACTCAGTGGTCTGGAGCCCCCACCCTGGCAGGGCCATGTGCCCGGGTATGCCAGGGTCACAGAGATTGCCCCTGTCCCCGTCCCCCCAGCACCCCCTGCCACCCTAACCCCTCCTCAGGGTCCTGCAAGCCTCCCCACCGCCCAGGTGCTGAAGCTGAGGTTGGAATTTCAGCTAGAGGGCCTCGCCTCATCTGCCTGTAGCCTGTTGGTTTTTCTAAAATATAGTTGCAGTAAGATGCACATAACAAAATTTAAAATTTGCTGGCTGGGCACAGTGGCTCACGCCTGTAATCCCAGCACTTTGGGAGGCTGAGGTGGGTGGATCACAAGGTCAGGAGATCGAGACCATCCTGGCTAACACGGTGAAACCGCATCTCTACTAAAAACAAAATAATTAGCCAGGTGTGGTGGCGGGCGCCCGTAATCCCAGCTACTCAGGAGGCTGAGGCAGGAGAATGGTGTGAACCTGGAAGGCCCAGCTTGCAGTGAGCCGAGATCGTGCCACTGCACTCCAGCCTGGGCGATAGAGCGAGACTCCGCCTCACATAAATAAAAATAAAATTTGCCTTTTTTTTTTTTGGAGACAGAGTCTTGCTCTATCTCCCAGGCTGGAGTGCAGTGGCGATCTTGGCTCACTGCAACCTCCATCTCCTGGGTTCAAGCCATTTTCCTGTCTCAGCCTCCTGCATAGCTGGGATTACGGACATGCACCGCCATGCCTGGCTAATTTTTGTATTTTTAGTAGAGATGAGGTCTCACCATGTTGTCTAGGCTGGTCTCAAACTTCTGACCTCAGGTGATCTGCCTGCCTTGGCCTCTCAAAGTGTTGGGATTACAGGCGTGAGCCACTGTGCTGAGTTGTTTTTCAAATTTTATATCCCCATCAGCAATGATGAAGGTTTTAAAATTCTCTGCATCCTCACCAACACTTGTTACTGGCTGTCTTTTTAATGATGCCCGTCCTGGTTGGTAAAGTTTTTTTTTTTTTTTTTTTTTTTGAGACGGAGTCTTGCTCTGCCGCCCAGGCTGGAGTGCAGTGGCCAGATCTCAGCTCACTGCAAGCTCCACCTCCCGGGTTTACGCCATTCTCCTGCCTCAGCCTCCCAAGTAGCTGGGACTACAGGCGCCTGCCACCTCATCTGGCTAGTTTTTTTTTTATTGTATTTTTTAGTAGAGATGGGGTTTCACCGTGTTAGCCAGGATGGTCTCGATCTCCTGACCTCGTGATCTGCCCATCTCGGCCTCCCAAAGTGCTGGGATTACAGGCTTGAGCCACCGTGCCCGGCCCAGTTTTTTTTTTTAGACAGTCTCGCTGTCGCCCAGGCTGGAGTGCAGTGGCGCGATTTCGGCTCACTGCAATCTCCGCCTCCCGGGTTCAAGTGATTCTCCTGCCTCAGCCTCCCGAGTAGCTGGGACTACAGGCGCCCGCCACCACGTCCAGCTAATTTTTTGTATTTTTAGTAGAGACAGGGTTTCACCGTGTTAGCCAGGATGGTCTTGATCTCCTGACCTCATGATCTGCCCACCTCGGCCTCCCAAAGTGCTGGGATTACAGGTATGAGCCACCATGCCTGGCGTTTTTATTGTTTTTTGACATGAAGTCCTGCTCTGTTGCCCAGCCTGGAGTGCGGTGGCACGATCTCAGCTCACTGCAGCCTCCACCTCCTGGATTCAAGCAATTCTCCTCCCTCAGCTTCCCAAGTAGCTGGCATTACATGTGCCCACCCCCATGCCTAGCTAAGTTTTGTATTTTTAGCAGAGACGGGGATTCCCCATGTTGGCCAGGCTGGTCTGGAACTCCTGACGTGCTGAGATGACGGGCGTGAGCCACTGTGCCCGGCCCAGTTTTTTATATTTTTAAAGGGTTGTAAGAAAAAATCCCAGACTATGTGACATATTTAGGCAAAGCCTAAAATATTTACCAGGCCCTTTGTGAAGTTTGCCGATCCCTGGTCTAGGCCATCGCTGTGGCCCTCTGCTGTGCTGTGTGACACCATGCCTGGTTCACACCCACTCTGAGCATCTCAGAAAGGGCAGCACTTCAGTTCCATCTCTCTTGGTATTGAGGGAATGGAGTTTCACTCAGCCAGGCGTAGGGGCTCACACCTGTCATCCCAGCATTTCGGGAGGCAGAAGCAGTGGATCACCTGAGGTCAGGAGTTCGAGACCAGCCTGGACAACATGGGGAAACCCTGTCTCTAGTAAAAATACAAAAACTGGCCAGGCATGGTGGCAGGCACCTATAATCCCAGCTACTCAGGAGGCTGAGGCAGGAGAATGTCTTGAACCCAGGAAGCGGAGGTTGCAGTGAGTCGAGATCACACTACTTTACTTCAGCCGGGGCGACAAGAGCAAAACTCCATCTCAAAAAAAAGGAAATGCGTCACTCAGTAGGCGAGTCCTGGCCTCCTATTCCCGACTCCGCCCCAGCCTTGCCCACACACCCATCTGTGGGGATCATGCCTCACCGTGCCCTGTTCTCTCCCCCTTCCCTTGGCAGTCCAAGGAGTCATCCTCAGTCCTGAGTTGTGACATCTCCAGGAATAACAAATACATCGTGACAGGCTCGGGGGACAAGAAGGCCACCGTGTATGAGGTGGTCTACTAAGACATGACCCCCACTTCCTGTACCCGAAGTCTGGACTCCTAGGGGAAGCAGCAGCCGCCTCGCAGCCCTGCCTAGGAACCGTTCATCCCACTGCTCTCTGGCCAACAGCTTCACACCTTCCCCTGCTGCATGTGGGGGCCGATGGGCAGAGGACCTTGGTAGAAATAAAATGTATTTATCACATCCGCATTTCTCTCTCGGGCTGGGGAACCGGTGATCATTGCTTCTCTTGGGCACGGTTACTGGGAGGTGACCGTGTCCTGGGAATCACACATAATGAGAATTCATTCTGGGGCGGGCGTGGTGGCTCACGTAATCCCAGCGCTTTGGGAGGCTGAGGTGGGCGGATCATGGAGTCAGGAGATCGAGATCATCCTGGCTAACACGGTGAAACCCCGTCTCTACTAAAAATACAAAAAATGTGGCGGGCGCCTGTAGTCCCAGCTACTCGGGAGGCTGAGGCAGGAGACTGACGTGAACCCGGGAGGCGGAGCTTGCAGTGAGCCGAGATCGCGCCACTGCACTCCAGCCTGGACGACAGAGTGAGACTCCATCAAAAAAAAAAAAAAATCTGCCGGATATTCAGAGGGTTCTGCCTGGTGTGTGAAAGTCACTCAGAGATACAGGAGTTGCCTTAGGAGGATGGTTTAGATGCTACTGTGTAACAAGTAGCCCCCTAGTCTCTGGGTTAACACATTTGTTTCTTGCTCATGCCCACACGGTATACAGGGCTCTACTCCAGGCAGTCCCTCAGGCCTCCAGGTAGAAATTTTGAGACAGTCCCACTGTGTCGCCCAGGCTGGAGTACAATGGTACCATCTCAGCTCACTGCAACCTCCACCTCCTGGGCTCAAACAATTCTGCCTCAGCCTCCCAAGTAGCCGGGATGACAGAAATACCACCACGTGCAGCTAATTTTTGCATTTTTAGTAGAGACGGGGTTTCACCTCGTTGGCCAGGCTGGTCTCCAACTCCTAACCTCAGGTGATCTACCCACCTCAACCTCCCAAAGTGCCTAGATTACAGGCAGGAGCCACTGCACCCAGCCTGGAATTTTAAGGCAGGGTCTTGCTCTGATGCCCAGCCTGGAGTGCTATGGTACAATCACAGCTCACCTCGACCTCCTGGGCTCAAGCAATCCTTCCGCCTCAGCCTCCCAAGTACCCGGGACTATAGTCATGTACCACCGCCATGCCTGGTTAACTTAGAGATGGGTTCTCACTATGCTGCCCAGACTGGTCTCAAACTCCTGGGCTCAAGTAATCTGCCCACGTTGGCCTCCCAAAGTACTGGTTTTACAGGCATGACCCACTCTACCTGGCCAACACATTATCTTTTTTGAGACAGGGTCTTGCTGTCGCCCAGGCTGGAGTGCAGTAGTGCGATCTCAGTTCACTGCAACCTCTGCCTACTGGGCTCAAACGATTCTCCTGTCTCAGCCTCCCGAATAGCTGGGATCACAGGCACACACCACCATGCCCAGCTAATTTCTGTATTTTTAGTAGAGATGGGGTTTTACCATATTGGCCAGGCTGGTCTCAAACACCTGACCCCAGGTGATCTGTCCACCTTGGGACCGCACCCAGTCCCAAGACCCTATCTGAAAAACAAAGACAAAAATTATCCCAAGATTCAGCCTAAGTACAAGGGGTAGGGAAAAAAGGGCAGAGCAGATAGCTATTCAGAGTGTAGCCAAATTTCCTGTGAGACTCTTAGAAACTTTTTTTTAAGACAGAGTCTTGCTCTTTCACCAGGCTGGAGTGCAGTGGCGCGATCTCAGCTCACTGCAACCTCCGCCTCCCAGGTTCGAGTGATTCTCCTGCCTCAGCCTCCCAAGTAGCTGGGACTACAGACACCCGCCACCATGCCCAGCTAATTTTTGTATTTGTAGTAGAGACGGGGTTTCACCATGTTGGCCAGGATGGTCTCAATCTCTTGACCTCATGATCTGCCCACCTCGGCCTCCCAAAGTGCTGAGATTACAGGCGTGAGCCACCACATCCGGCATCTACAAAAAAATTAGCCGGGCGTGGTGATGCACATCTGTAGTCTCAGCTACTCAAGAGGCTAAGGCAGGGAGATGGCTTGAGCCCAGGAGTTGGAGAGGCTGCAATGAGTAATGATGGCACCACCACACTCCAGACTGCATGACAGTGAGACCCTACCTCAAAAAAACAAACAAACAAACAAAAAGGCTTAGAGCCACCAGGCTGGGCGAAGTCCTTCCAGATTTCCAAAAGTTGAGCAGGGACGGGATGGGAAGGCCCCTTTCCCTTCAGAGGACAAGACACGTTCACTCTCTGCCTTTCCCGGGTGCTTTATTACACGTGACGGCGATCAGTCGGTACACCAGACTGGATCGTGCAATGCCATAGAAGATCCTTCCCACTTCCCACCACCATGACCCCCCCTGGTTGGGGGAAAAAAAAAGGGGGATGCAAAGAGGAGCCGGAGTTGGATGACAGCAGCGAGGCCCCTCAGTAGGTGATCTGGTACACGGAGGCATGCTCCCCGGAGCCTGTGACAATGAGGCGGTTGTTGGAAGAGACGTCACAGCACGTGATTGGGGACGTCTCGGGCACCTGGAGGGGGGCAGTGGGCAGTGAACTGGGGTAGGGCTCACACACCCCTGGTCTCTACCCGTTAGCTCAAGCATGAAGCATCGTCTCTTTGAAGAAAGACAAGGTCCTGCTCTGTTGCCCAGGCGGGAGTGCAGTGGTGCCATCTCAGCTCACTGCAGCCTTGACCTCCTGGACTCAAGCAATCTTCCTGCCTCAGCCTCTCAAGTAGCTGGGACCACAGGTGCACACCACCACACTCAGCTGATTATCATTTTATTTTTTGAGACGCAGTCTCGCTCTGTTGCCTAGGCTGGAGTGCAGTGGCACAATCTCTGCTCATTGCAGGCTCTGTCTCCTGGGCTCAAGCCATTCTCCTGCCTCAGCCTCCCAAGTAGCTGGGACTACAGGTGCTCACCACCATGCCCGGCTAATTTTTTGTATTTTTAGTAGAGACGGGGATTCACCGTGTTAGCCAGGATGGTCTCGATCTCCTGACCTCATGATCCACCCGCCTCGGCCTCCCAAAGTGCTGGGATTACAGGCATGAGCCACCACGCCTGGCTCAGCTAATTATTTTTTATAGAGATGGGGTCTCACTATGTTGGCCAGGCTGGTCTCGAACTCCTAAGCTTAAGGGATCTTCCCGCATCAGCCTCCCGAAATGCTGGGATTAAAGCCATGAGCCACCACACCTGGCTAATTTTTCAACTTTTTGTAGAGACAGTGTCTTGCTGTGTTGCCCAGGCTGTAAACATGGTCCCTTTTGGGCCACCCCCAAGTCCTGCCCCCAGTCCATCGCAGTACCTGGAACACCTTTGTCCCTGTTGGCATGCTGTAGACACCAAGGAAGTCGTCCATCCCAACGCTTGCCCACCACTGGCCTGGGAGAAATGAGGGTGTCGGCTCATGGGGACACCAGCAGCCGAAGGTGGGAGGAGGACCACGCCGGGGGCAGGGGGGCGGGGTGGGGGAGAAGGACCACCCTGGGGGCAGGGAGTCGGGGGGAGGGGGCGAGGGGGGGGGGGGGCCAGGGGGGGGGAGGACTAGGGGGGGGGAAGGGCCATGGGGTCAGGAGGGCACAGTACCCACCCCCTTCCCTCCGTCATCCCCCGGCAACAGCATCCCCAAAACTTGTTTGTGCTACAGATGGGTTCTGAGGTGTCCTAGAAGGTTGGGTGGGGTCTTGTGGGAGGCTGGGGGCTGCAGGGGAGTCCGCCCACCTTCCGCCAGCCGCTTACCAAAGGGGGAGAACTTGGTGCTCAGGATGACGCCGTCTTTCTGCCCCACCATGTGCCGCTGGCTCCCGCTGGTACTCTGCAGCCACTGCTGGCCATTGGCCATGCCCAGCAGCAGCCAGTCCTCCTGGGGGCTGTGGGACAGGCTCATTATCTGGGTAACGGGCAGTGGGGAGGGAGGAACCTGGTTAGGTCCCAGCCTGGCCCAGGAAGCAGGCAGGCGCCTGGGGACCTACCCTGGAGGCCGAGTGACTGACCCCTTCATAGCTGTGCAACCCTGGGACAAGCAACTTCATATCTGTGCCTCAGTTTGTCGGTCTGTAAAATGGAGAGTCTTCCCTACTTTGCACCCAATATAGCATGAGTGTTTGAGACGCAGTCTCACTCTGTTGCCAGGCTGGAGTACAATGGTATGATCTTGGCTCACTGCAACCTCCACCTCCCGGGGTTCAAGCGATTCTCCTGCATCAGCCTCCCAGGAAGCTGGGATTACAGGCGCCGCCACCACGCCCGGCTAATTATTCTGTATTTTTCAGTAGGGATAGGGTTTTGCCATGTTGGTCAGGCTGGTCTTGAACTTCTGACCTCAAATGATTCGCCCGCCTCAGCCTCCCAAAGGGCTGGGATTACAGGTGTGAGCCTCCGCGTCCAGCCCTCATTTTTGTATTTTTAATAGAGATGGGGTTTCACTATGTTGGCCAGGCTGGTCTCAAACTCCCGACCTCAGGAGATCCACCTGCCTCAGCCTCCCAAAGTGCTAGGATTACAGGCATGAGCCACCGCGCCCAGCCTCAACCTCATTTTTTAATGTGAGGACCAGAGGATGCCTGGCCGAGCAGACCCTATCCTAGCCTCCGCACCTGAGACTCGAATTGGTACTCCAGAGGCTTCATGATGGTCCTCTGGTCCCAGCACCGCAGACAGGCATCCAGCCCCCCCGTCCAGATGTTGTAGCCCTTGACCACCATACTCTTGACTCCATCAGGGTAACCTGTGAGGTCCCTGGCCAGAAGGGACATCGGGAGGCAATCAGACCAAGACGCTGAGGTTTGGGCCCCCAGAAACACCAGTCACTACATTTGGGCATGAAAAGGACGGTGCCACCACCCACAAATCTCTGCCTTCACGGAGTGTGTATCAAAGTTAGCAGAAAATGGACACAGGATCTAGTGCCGGCCCGTCGGCAGCCCTCAGTCTCCCTTCTCCATCCTGGGCCTCCCCTTGGTCTCACCCAGGCCTCCCCTTGCCTCTTCTACCCTGAGTCCACCCAAGCTCTGAGGCAGGTCTACAGGAATCCCTTCAAGCAGGGAAGGGGAATAGTGGTGGACGGGTGGTGTGCTGTATTTTACGTCAGCCATCGCTTCCTGCAAACATGCGGATAGATATT